AAGGCATTCTCAATTACCCCACTTCCATTTTATTTTGTGGTCAGAATTTTATTTTCTCAGAATTTCTGTCATTTCCTGACACTCACCCTGCTTTTATGAAAAAAAAAAAAAAAACACAGAGCACAATAAAATCTGACCATAAATAATCTGAACATTAGGATGTACAAGCACAGTTCTTCTGTCTGTAGAACTGCAGGATTCATCACGACACGCATTACATTTTCAGGCAACTCTTCAACTCCTTTGCTATTCATTTTTTACATGCTATAAAGAGGAAATTCTGACTCATTATGTATATAGCTACACAGAAGAGATACCATATTACCATGCAAGCTTACGAGTTGCACATGTGAATGTTTTTGCCCAAAATAACTGAGAAGTAGCTCATCACTCCCAATAGGGTGACTTTAAATTATCTCCTTGTGGATGAAGCATATTTCCCTTCACCTCATATCACTATAACTTATTCACATTGCCTTAACTGCCTCACATCTCCACAGCTTCCAGAAGAGACTGTATTAACAGATGACAAGGTGAACAACTACCAAGGAAATGGAGGCTTTTATAGAGTGAACAGCCATTTCTAAGTGGCTGTACCTCACTACTCTGAACTGGTGCCAAACACACACAACTCATTTTCCTGAACAGATATATGCCTTTATCTGTACTGCCACCACCACTCCTCATGTGGCATGAGCAGGACTCGTTTTATTCAAGACATCCAGAGAGACCTGACAGTACATCTATGCACATTCTACAAAAGGATAATACGGGTATCCAAGGGACTTTACCACCATCTGCAATTCACACCACAGCTGTCACCTCTGTAATGGAATGGGACATCTCCATTTCCCTAACCTTGTATTAGTGCTCATGCATCTGCACGGTGACAACCATTCCAAGGTCAGTGTGATGAGCAGGGAACTGATGGGATTGAGAGAGTCTTTGCCAACTGCATAACCACTAAACCCAGCTCGAGACAGAGGATGAGACCAAGCAGCTAGAGGAAGGAGGAACTGTTCCTTTCAGCAGTGGCAGCGACACATGACAATGCCAGAACTACACGTTTACATCATGAGCTCCTAAATTCTCAGTTAGGAGCCCCTAGAAACTTTGTCTTACAGAGTACCTATAGCCTGCTAAAAAGTATTTTGCCAGTAGCCAGCTATCTGGAGCTCTGAGGCTGTGCCATCACATTGGTGGAGGTGAATATAAAGGCTCAGAGGAAAGTCGACTTGAGATGCAGAAACCAGACGTTTGCACGCTGCAGTCCCAGAAGGGACCCTACCCAGGGAACTGCAGCAGCATATATGCTAGCATGCAGATAATACCAAGTTCAACACAAAGCATGGCGTCCTAGCAGCTCCACTCAAAAGCACAGGACTACTTGGCAGCAGCAGCTTCTTAAATTGCCTCCTGAATAATAAATGCAACTGAAGAGATAAGAAGCCCGTACCAAATGCCCAGAAGAGCTCAATCTCACATCACAACTCAAATACGAACGCCCTCGTATCAGCAAGGCTGACGCAGAGACTCTCTTCTCCCCACTGAAACTGCACAGATAGGAAGACAGAAGTCTTACTCCACCAACACTTTCTGTAGAGAAAGGAGCTGCTGGGTGGAACCGAAAACCACTGTGGGAAGCAGAGACCAGAACTGAGGAGACACCTCATCCCAAAGGAATGCCCCTGCCGTGGTGCTACAGACATAGCACAGAGGATGGCTATCCCGGCGCTGGGAGGGGGGGAAGCTCACATTCCTCTCTATACAGAGACAGGTTCGGCCAGAGGATCGGAGCAAGGCTGGCCCACCTTCAGGTGTAGTCTCCCTGGTGAGACACCAGCTGCAGGCGTGAAACCTGCAGGCCAAGGGACCGCTGATTCTCTGCGACAGGCCTGTGAAACCACACTTCCAAGCCTGGAAGAGATGTAGAACCATTAAGGGCTGCAGTCACCCAACAATTGGGGAATCGCTGGTCTGGGCTATAAATGTAGAGATAGAGATCACCACTGGCACTGCTTTCATCCCCTTGAGCTACACCTGGAAGACACAGCCAAGGCTGTTATGCTCTACAAAGAACACAGCTCAGGTAGGACGCATCTAGCGTGACACAATGAGGACCAGAAGTGCAGGTGAGCTCAAAGGCCTTTGATACGAGGAAGATCACCTCGTAGATATAAAGCTTAGGAAAAAGACCCAAGACACTGTGTTCAGGCAGGACAGTTGCCATGCCACACACATGTGTTACCAGAACTTTACATAACCAAGCCAAAGTTTTAAGAAAAGGAGGAGGGTGTCTAAGTTCTCCAAAGTAAAAGAACTAGAAGAATTCAGATGCCATAACTTAACAGGGAAACCTATTGAAACCCAGCAGCCTAAGTTATGCTTTAAGAATGGATACAAGCACGAGGGAAGTATTTAAGGTTTCTGCCCAGCCTCTGTGGAGCAGAAAAATGTGAAGGCAGGCCTGCCTATGACCTAAAGCAGCACCTTATCTGCAGGTCCACTCACACGGGCTCACGTCTCATTTCAGCTAGGAGAATGTAACATTTCAGCTTAGGAGTGCTGCTGGAGACAAAGCCTGGTACCACTCTTAAGAAAGTCGTTCAGCTCTTCGACTATCTCTCAGAGGATGGTTGGAACGAATTTTGAAGCATCTGTTCACGATCCCTTTAGGACGCCAGTGCTTTGCACTAAAGGTGCACTGAAAGACTGCAAAGAAATGAAGATTTTTCTCATCCTTATAACACCCCTGCTTTAAAACCAGCGTGCTACAGGAGTTCATTAGGAGGCTTCTCTTACTTTCCTGGATTATATAACTGCTTCACTGCAAATCCATACAAAGAAAACTGAACTTTGTAGTCATCCAGAAAGTATATCCCTAGGCAATAGGCAAATAAATTCCAAGTAACAGCCACCATAAAGTACATAGAGTAGACAGACACAGTCCACTCTACTGCATGAATCACTATAAAGGAATGAGTACGCTTGCTGTATTTCCTACCATACAAATATTACTGGTAAGATGTATGTTGAGCTTGGCCCCACTTTCTCTACAGCAACAAAAGCTTACAAACATACAAGTAATCAAGTAAATATTATGCCTAAGATACTTGAAATCTCTGCCTAAATGAATCCAGCTTCCCACTGGTGCCAATGAAAGTTACCGGGAAGGAAAACAGAGCATCCAAGGTATCAGCACAACTTGCTCCAGTGACTGCACTGATCTTTAAACCGAACACTTAACTCCGCTTCTACAGAAAGACTAACATTAAATGCTTTTTAAAACGTCAGAGCACGACTGAACAGACATATACAGTGTCTGTAAATGCTAACCAAAGTAAGCTTAGCCTGTGCTGAATAAGATAGTCTAATTTTCACCAAGAAATTAGTAGTGTAGCAAGAAAGACATTTTGAGATCAATTTTCACAGCACTGTGAGGACCTAAAACTATTTATAAATTTGTACAGTACACAAAGAAATTGTAGATCCGTGTTATGTAACACAAGTGTAAAGAATTTCTGAAGCAGAGAAAAACGAAGCAAATAACCTAGTCAGAGAGAAACAAGGACAGCGGAGGGCAGAAAGTCAGTGTTGGAGATTCTTAAACATACAAATGTACAGCACATAATACCAAAAATGAAAACCAAATTACTACAAAAAGCTTTTTATGTGTTTTCTGAGATTACCCTTAGTTTCTCGGCACAAAAACCAGCCTATACCAAACCCCAAGGCCAAATGACATTTTTCTTATGTTTATTGGAGGTTAAAGTGTATTTTTGAACACAACAAGAACCAAAAATCTCTTGGGCAAGGTCAAAGCTTCGCATTATTCATCCAGAAGTATTTTGTTTGGAGAATCACGTGAAATTTAAAAAGATATTAAACCAGAACCTGTGGTCTTTTCTATACTTTAAAAAATTCTGTTAAGTTTTGCTGAAGTTTGACAAAGAGAATACAGAATGCCAAGAACACAAGCTGATGTAAAAGCTTCTGTCACTTTCTCAAAATAGTTTTCTGTTTCTTCTGCCTCCTTCATCTTTACAGAAAGAAGCAAGCGCTGCCAAGAGAAATTTCACAGGAATTGGTGTTTGTAGCATGACATGCTTTAATAAAGCGTATTTGAAGTCTCACGAAATATATTCTGCAAAGTTTGAACAGACTTCACAGAAACCAGAACATGGCTAATTTAGAATATTTTCAATTATCAAAAACTGATTCCATAGCCTTGTTATAAACTTACTATTAGAACGCAATATATAGAAGAAGCTGTTGTTCGGTATCAGAAGCTGTAATGCGTGTGTCACAAGACCTTGGACCCACCTGGAGTTTACACTTCCAATTAAATAATAAAATTGTGTAATGTACCACATGTATTACCCTCGAAGCTATTCAGATAAAGTCTAATTACAGCTTATCGAACTAACCTTTACCTCTGGGACTGCAGAAAACAGAATGCAGTTATACCACCTTCAGACATCTCATTTCTGTCTCGGGTGACTACGAGCTCACTCGAGGGATCGTGTACCCTAATTTTAGGTGTTTTCACACGCCGTGAAGGCAAGCCCTTCCCTGTCATTTGACTCTTCCTGACGATAACAGGGCTCCGGCTCCAGATCTTAGCGAGGTCCCCAGCGAGAGCGTTCCGCCGGGCGCGCTGGAGCCCCCTCGGGAAGCGGCAGGCGGAGGTTTCCCCGGGCAGTAACCGAGGGCAGAGCCCCCGCCGGAGCTCCGCGGCAGCCGCCCAGGTGAGCGGGAGGCAGGAGACCCCCCCCCCCCCCCGGGCACCGGCCAGCCCTTGCCCTGCCCTCCCCCGCCGCTGGCGGGAACACCCGGCCGGGAGGGAACCACGCACCGAGCACCAAACGCCCGAGAACCGGCTCAAGGCCACGGCCGAGCCCGGAGCGACCCGACCCCCGGGGCCGGTCCCACCCCGAGGGCCGCCGCCCGCCCCAACCGCCCCGGCGCTCCCCGCGGCGCGGCGAGGGCCGCCTCCTTACCGGCACAGCTCGGCGAAGGCCTGGAAATTCAGCTTCCTGATCTTCTTCTCGCTCAGCCAGTAACCCACCCGCTTCCCTTTCAGGAAGGTCTGCATGGTGCCGGCCCGGAGAGGCGGCGGCAGCCCCGCGACGTGAGGGTGGGGAGGGAAGAATCGGCCCGGGGCGGCGGGGGGCAGCCCGGCTACCGCTCGCACCCGGCGGCTGCGAAGCAACGGCTTCAAAAAAAGAGAAAAAAAAAAAAAAAAAAAAATCAGTCGGGCGGAGGACGCCGGCGCTACCCCCCCCCCACCCCCCTCGCCCGCTCTGCGCCGCTGAACCCGGCCGGGCGCAGCCTCCGAGCGGCGGCAGGCCTCGCCCCGGCGCCGGCAGCCGAGCCCCCCGAGGCGAACCGGAGAAGGTGCCGCTGCCGGCGGGGAAGCCGCTAACCCCCCCCCGCCCGCCGCCGCACGCCCGCACCCACCCCGCCGCCGAGCTCGCCTCCGCGCCCGCCCGCCGCCGCCGCCGCTGCTGCTCCGCTGCCCGGCCGCGGTGCTGCTGCAGCCGCTCAGCTCCCCATTTGCCCGCTATTCACAGCCGCCTCCACTTCCTCCTCCTCCTCCTCCTCCTCCTCCTCCCCCGGCCCGGCCCGTCCCCTCCCCGTTCCCAGCCCCCGGCACCGGGGGCGGCCGCGGGGGGCGGGAGCGCGGCGGCAGGACACACCCACCGCGCCGCCGCCCCACCAGGGGGCGCCCCGGCCCGCGCCGCCGCCTTAAAGAGCCAGCGCCCGTTTTTCGGGCCAGCCCGGTGCGGGGAGGGGGGGGGGGATGCTGTGCCGCCCCCGGTCCCGGTGTTCGCGCCACCCTCACCGCTCCGGCCCCTCCCGCCGCGCCTCCCACGGGCAAAACCCCCTCCCGAGGGCTCGGGGCCACCCCCGGGCCGGGTCGCCGCGGCATCGGGGCCGGAGGCGTGCGGTGCGCTCGGGGATGGGGCCCGCCGGGGAGCCGTGTCGTTTTGTTCTCCGAGGGAAGAACAGTTTATCACGGCTACTTCTATTTCCTGTTAGAGCTACTAAAAACGATCGTTCGGTACAAAGGTGTGCGTCTTTCACAGAAAAAAAAAAAAAAAAAAAAAAAAAAGGTTCCAGTCAATGAGTTAAACCGCAAACCCAAGCATCTTCCTTCTTCCAGCATTTGGCAAGTACCTGTAAGGATTTAACAGAAGTTTCAGTAACAGCTATTGCTTTTTTTTTTTTTTTTTTTTTTTTTTTTCTGCAGGAGGCAGGCAGTGGCACCATGAGATGGCATTTTAATTTTGGGGTTGTGCATTCCTAAATACCGAGGCAGCTGTTTCGTGCTCCATTTCAGAGGCAGAATGTTTCCGTCTGAATTACTGTGCTACCTCACAGCACACGTATAGTTTCCCCATCTTTGTTTCTCCCCTTCATCGGAAACGAGCATTATCCAGCCTGAACGTTTTTCTCTGTCTCTTTGGGAATGCAAAGCACAGCTTTTATATTAATTATGTCTTTGAGAGAGTGCTTGGCAGTACCTGCAGTCCTGAACTGAGATGCAGATGATGCTCCTGCGAAGATGCTTTTTGTGACCCAGGCTTGGAGCCCTGCACAGTTGATGCTGCTCAGAGAGTTCTGCTGACTCACCGTGCCACAACAAACGTGGTTTAATAACTTCAGCAGAGTATCAGAAAAGTGTTAGAAGCATCCATTCAGAGGAAAGAAGGGGGAAAGCCAGGAAAGTCTTAAGAAATACGAAAGGGATCACTGACCCAGGGAGCAGGGAGAGACCATTTTACATTCCTCCCGTTATTTACACGAACACTGAAGTCATCCTAAACCAAGAGTATGTTAACAAGTAGGCAGGGAGTGGAATTGCCTGCAAACAGTTCATATCCGTGTTTTGGAAAATGTATATAATAGTACTTTTTCTCCATTTGTGGTAGCTTTGAGGAATAAATATTTATTTCTCTTCATCTTATTTGCCACTCATGTTATAACCTTTATTTTTCAGGGCACTTTTAATCATATTCACACATTTTTGCACAGTTCATTAATTAATGTAATCAGAATTTGTAAATGTGTTTTGATACCATGATTCCTGTTGCAGAATGTTTCACTGATATTTAAACATTCCAGGGAAGCGTAGTAACTTCGGGAAAATTTGTAACTCAAAAAGGTCCAAATACAAGAGTTAATCAAACATTATCAAAATTAAATAAGAGTCCTGAAACAACCTGATCTGCGTTTCCTCTTTTGAAGTGTTTAATTTTGCTAATATCAGTGCTTTATTTCAGCTATCATCTCAGTGGACTTTAGACTTTATTAAAATTTGCATGAGTACATTAAGCTCAAAATTTGTATCTGAATTGAATATGCATATATTGAAACCTGACATTATCGAAGACATCTTCCTAAATTATTTCTTTCTGGATGTTTTTTTCTATAAGAAATGTCACCGTTTCAGACCAATATCAAACACAGTCTGCAGAGACTGAAAGATTTATGAACTTCTTTCCAGATACGGGAGAGCAGGTTTTCAGAGGTGTTGAGCGTTCTTGGCTCCTGTGGAAATGAAGCACGGGAGCTACAAAGGAGGAATTTGCTTTGCTCCAATACAGACTAACTTAAATGACATGTGGCAGAGACCAGAATCAATCTTAGGAAGGAGAAAGCTGGTAAATTCCTTCATTTTTTAACTGCCTTTTTTTGAATCTTAGCCCTTGAACAATTTCAGGTGTGGGAAATATATTTCATCTGGTGCGCCACTGTACTGCATCTTGCTGCACAATGTTGCTAAATGAATTACAATCCTTTGTTTACATTGCAGAGCCAGTTCAGGCAATGCCAAACCTGTGACCACACGAAGCCCCAGGGTAATGTTTACCCAGTTCCTGATCAGGAGCAAGCTGACTATTCCTGTGACTTTCTGTGGCCCAATGCTGTAAGCTGCAACTCAAGAGCTGCTTCATGCTAATTAAAGGGTTGAGGGTTGATTAAGATCTTGAGCCCTCCAGCAATCAGAACTATCTTCCTCTTCATCTTAGCTTCAGCTACAGGTCAAAGCAGGTTTCCCTTGTTTAGCTGGAACCTCTCACACCTTGTCTTCTAACCCTTTCAACAAATATAGGGGCTCCAACAAGGTTGGACACTTGCAGTGTGGGACAAGTTAGTGAAATTCCATGGGAGTCCATTTTAGAATAAGATGAGGCATCTCCATTCACTTAATTAGTTATTGAAGTGTATTTTCTCCACGAATGATTAAGAGCAACGTTCTTAGCACCTGGCAAAAGTCACGAGAGGATCTTTTGCAATGAGTGGAAAGAAGGTGGTGAAGTGATTTTTCACTACCTGTAGTTCAAGCTTTTCACATTTTATTTTTTATTATTACAGGACAGATGTTACTCTGCTGCAGATGGGCACAAGGAAGGGCTGAGCCTTCCACATCAGGACAGGTCTCCCCTTTCTCCAGTCGGTCCAACTGCCAGGTCAGATCACGTGCTAACACAGCACTTCTGGAATGAAGCTGTAGGCAGGAGGGAACATGAAAATCCCCTGCGTGTGCTGCACTGCAGCTCCTTCTTGGCTTTGAGAGACTCAGAGAGGAGTCCTGGTGCTCCACAGAATCTGGGACTGGCCAACGCCAGTGAGGCAGCTAGAGAGAAAGGCGTGAGAAGCACGGCGGGCGCCCGTTTCCTCAGGTCTCTGCTGTATCTACAACCGACTCATTACTGGAAGATTCATAAAAAGGCCAGATATGACTTCTTTTTTACAGTGGGTCACTAGAGAATGCATGGGAGCGACGCCAAGCTTCTCCAGTTTATGGATTTTTGCCTAACTTCTGGCAAAACGTATTATAATCTCAGATATTGTCTGGAAAGCTTTCTGAATGTACTCTGGACCGGCAGCTTTTAAATGATAAACTAGTGAAAGTTAGTACTCAGGGATGAAAGCTCATTTCTGGTTTTTGTGTTCAAAATCACACAGGCTAAATCTAGTCAAGGGACAAACTTCAGCCAGCCCCTGCGGGGTTCCTGATGGGAGGGAGGCCCCGCTAGCAGCTGATTCAGCCCAACTTCATGTCTCTGAATGACCCGTTGCCAATGGAGACCACACAGGGTGACTGGCCTCACTAGCTGGAAATCAAACTCTCATTTTACAGTCAGTTAAATCAGGTGTTGCTGTTTAGAGAAGTCTCTCCAGAAACTGCCACCACCTGTTCTCACCTTTTGTCGTGCCCTCCTTTACAACTGCCCAGCTGCTCACGTGGCCGTGCGCAAACAGGATCGGGAAGCTAGGAACTCAACTGGACTAAAACAAACTCAGAAAGTTGACCACGGTACTTCAGTCTTAATCCAAAGCAGTTCCCCTGTCTGGATCACGATCCTTCTTCCTACCAGTTTGTAGAGGCATGAAGCCAAAGGCAGGGAGGAGGCTGGAAGGAGGAGGCCAGGTAGAGAAAGCACTGAGCTGCCTCTTTTGGTGGCAATCCCATTTTACAGCAGCAGCAGAGGATGGTGAAAGCGTGGGGGTCACCAGTGTGACCACTCCCTTACTCACTGAACAACCAGTGCAGGTTATACCGCAGCATTTTGATTTTATAAAGAAAAGAAGGATTAGTGAGGACTGGCTGAGGCTCATCAGTATTTCTGAGATCTTGTAGAGAGCAGAAGGAATTCAGCCAGAAGGGCTCCAAAACCTTCCAAAGGAGGGTAACAATGATGCCTGGCAGATGACCAGATCTATGTGGGCCAATGCAGCGCCGTTCAGGGATTCCTGAGCTGACTCACCAGCCCCAGCGGAGCACTGCTTAGACTGCTACCTGTTACACTGGTAGCATCGAAAGCTCTTAAGTTCCAATCATAAAACCAGGATAACTAAGGGGTTTTTTTGAAACTGCAAGGAAGCCACCACTATGAGATATGTCTTACTTCACGCACAGCTCAAAAGTTCGGCTATCCTGAGCTCTGATGAATGTACGTGTTGCAGGAACGTAAGAAAGGGTCTGGCTGCCAAGTTCGCTTGCTTGGCTTGTAGCGTTTTGGGTGCAGGCTGTGTATGAGCTCATAAGCCAAGGAAAGCATCTCATCAGTGAACAAAGAATTTAAGACCACAAAAAACATGTGGCCAAAATCCAAAGATGGAGAAGTCCTGTGCCAGTATAATTATCTCAGTAGGAGTAGATTTTTTTAAACTGAACTGCGTTTGTTAGTCAAAT